TGTTGCAGCAAAAAGCTTCATTTTTAGCATGAACTTTGAAGGGCATTTTCACAGAATTGCTGTAAGAAGTGCCCAGGTCTGCCACATATATTTTTTTTTCCCAGCAGCTCTGAGTGGCAATGCAGCACAAAACACATTAAAAGTCTATTGGATTTTCCTGTGATTTAGATTTGGAACATTTCTCAGAAGTCCTCTTCCCTGTGACTACTCCTAAATAATGGGTTGGAGATGAGAGGGAGAGTAGGGTGCTTCATGACACCTGTCACAGGACCAGGTGGTGGTTCAGAAAATTCTTCCTTTTGGCAAAATATGGGTTTGGGCTTTGGGCTCAGTGGAACAATCTCTGCTTGATTTTTGCATGGCTGACAAAATCTGTGAGGGTCACTGGGGGCAGAATGGAGCCGCCCTCAGTGTCTGCATTGTTTGGAGTCGGCATTGCAGGATGTGGCCCTCCTCAAGCTCAAGGTGACTTGGCAAAGCCAGTGTCTCTTTGAGCTGCAGCCACTTCTCACAGCTTTGGAAGGCTAAACAATAATGCCCCTTGATGCAGTAAAGTGTTGATCTGAGTTTTCATTAAACTGCAGCTCTGCATATTTTACCTGTCACTGATTTCATTTAGCTAGCTGAGACATCACAGTATTGCACTCAAATTATTGTGAAAATATTTGCGTTCTAATGCTATGAGGACTTGTGTCCCTACGTAGGATATAATGTAGCTATGTGCTTTGTAAACAACAAAACAGCAGATGCATTACCAGAAAGTGAAGCATATTCCCACTTTGTTTTGCAGACAGTAAAATGTTTCTGAGATGCAGACAGCTGGACTGGCAAGGGCAGAGGTTTGGTGGCAAATCTTTGCCCTTGCTGTGTAAAGAAACAGTTGTTAAGGCTTTTCAAAATGTGAAGCCAAAAGGAGGGGGAAGAATCCAATGAAAATACATTTCTTTTGGGAAGCTTCTTTATTTTGTTTCTGTGGATGCTATCAGGGACATGCATTTCTTGGGCTTGTGCTTGCATTAAGGACCTGCCTGAAGGCACTTCTGAAGTAGAAGCCATTACATGGATTGAAGAGGCTCTAAATTGGACTCAAAGACTTCTTCCTTTCTGTCAGCTCTCCTTTCTTCTGCCTTGCTAAGTCACTTCTGCCTGCCAATGGAGATGCCCAGGATTACACACACAGTCCCTGCCACCATGCTTTAGACACACAAACATTATTAAAAATACTTTTAAAAGTGCATAGCTAATATCTAGACTGAAGCTGTTCAGTTTCTTATGCATATTTTTTCCCTTACTTGCTGTAGAGTGTTTTCCCCTTTAATATGACAAAAATAGATATTGAAGGTTTGGGAAAGGTTAGATTCTATTTGCCTTTTCCAAAATGGAGAGGGTAGAGAGTAGGAGGAGATCTGTGCATGGAGTTTCTTAAATAAAGTCCTCTTGTGGGAGGCTTCTACCTCCCCTGTATGGGAAAAAAATTTGCCATTTTTAAGTCTCAGTTTCCCATGTTTTGAAGAGTTACGTGGCCCTTTAGGTAGGACTATTCTAAAACATAAATCTATCATTGTATCCCATTTATACTTGTCACAGTGAAATGCTGATGGGAAACATACTGTTGTGTTTTTATAGTAAAGACTGTTGGAAATAAAGGCCTCCATGAGAACAAGTTTCTATCCTTGCAGGTGTCTCTGAAAATACTGCTCGCTTATAATGTGCTTTACAGCTTCAAAGGACAGAACAGAATTTAGGGAACTGCAAAAAGTTTTGGTTTTTTTTAGAGTAAGTGACTTCTGGGGCTACCAGTCTTGAGAAAAAAACATAAAAAACCCACTAAACATTTGCTGCTGTTTTGCTTGTACTGGCTTCTCCTCCCCTCTGACGCTGTCCTTCCTTCATAGAGCCACTCTGCTGTTCCTGATAGTCATGGAAACTTGGGGAGAGAAACAAACCCATGTGAAAAATCTTGTCCAGAAGAAATGTATTTGTTGCTCAATTTTCTAGCACTGTTTACAGATTTCCTCCATGTTATTTATAAATTTTATATTCAGTGAATGTATATTGTCTTTTAAGGTAATGTTGCATAATGTTCACTTTTTATAGTGTCCTTTTATTCTAAACAGTAAAGTGGTTTTATTTCTATCACAGACATTCTGTCTCTGCTTCACTTATATTAGTTCTTGTTGACTTCAAATGTACACAAATGGATTTGCAACTGGATTTCTTAATTTCCTTCCCCTTCCTGATACCCTTTTATTGGTCCCAAAGGAGATATTCCACCTCTGGTAATTCTTGTGCTTTGGCAAAGATCCCTTCAGGAACCCCCCCCTCTTTTTAAGAGCTTGTTCTCTCTAAGAATTGTTATTGTGGTCATAAGCCCAGGAGAGGCGAAAAATCCATTTTGAAGTTAATGACTCCCAGTTGTTAATTGGCCATAGGAGGTCAGTACAGAGCAAGGCACTCATTAGGGCTGGCTGTAGCACCAGTAGGTCCTTGGAAGAACACTTACCAGATTGCTCTTATTTCCAGAAAACTGAACATTATGGGGAGGTCTGAAAGGTGCGTGCCCATGGCAAAGGGAAGAGAGGTTCATCTTCTCTGCTGTGAAATGTCAGAATCTTGTGTCCTCTCTTTAGGCTTACTGTTTAAGGCTAATTTGAAGTCCCCTGTTCTCGTGAGAAGGAAGCTTCAGAAAAAGCATTTTCAGATAAGTTAAAATGCTCACAAAAATGGACCTACTGTTAGAAACCTCCTATATCTCACTTTTTACTCTTGGAAAGTCTAGTCTCTACAGAGATGAAGGAATGAAGAGGTCTTTGAATCTGTTCTCTGCTTAATCCAAAGGTTTAGAAAGTAGACTCTGGAAAATTTTGGATATAGAAGGATGAGGGTCTCCTATGTGAGAATTTAAGTGCTTAAAGTGTGTCACATTGCAGAGAGGTGAAACCATAAACACTTCCAGGGGGCGACCCATCAAAGGAACACACTGAGTTTTATGAGTGCTCACTGGTACAGCTTGGAAATACCTCCAGGAGAGTGAAGAGAAAGAGTGGTAAAAGAGGATCAGTATATTCCTATCTGACAAATGGAGAAGCTGATGCACAGTGGAGAAGCAACTTCCACAGGTGTTTGGTGATGACTGTAATGCAGCATGCTTGGTGCACTTGACCTCTCAGACACTCACAACCCAGGATGCTGAGAAGATGCTCCCAGAAAAGATATTTATAACTTGTGAAGATTCATTCTGTGAGGCAGACCACCCCCGTCACCTGGGAAGGGCTGACCTGAACTTGCCCAAGTGGATTGTTGCTCTGTAAATTGTTGGGAAGTGACTGATTTAAACCAGATTACTCAGGCTTGCATGTCAGCAGTAGTGTTTGTATTCATATGAGATTACCTACAGTTTAAAAGGCTTCCTGTACCCTTTTGGAAGTAAGTAATAGCATCTCCAAGTAGGTGATTAGTTACAAAGATGGAAAATAAGTGAAATTAAGATCAGTGCTAAACCAATCTACTTTGCTGCTACCAAATATATCTACATCTGTGGAACCAAGAATCAGCCTGACAATAAAAATGTGCTAAAAGTGCTAACTTATTTGCAATGATAACCTTTATCAAGTCTTCAAAAAATACTGTTCCTGAAATGGTGGTCCAAGTCACAACCGTCCTGAACTATTACTTACATCACAAAACCGTCTTCATAAATCATTAGTAATTAAATGCAACAGCTATGTGACTACTTATCTTATAAATGTGGAAAACACTGTCACATTGTTCAAGGACTATCCATTTCTTTATGTCTTCAATGATAATATAACTTCATGACTGTACTTACCTCCACAATGCGCCTGTGAAGCATGGAAGTGCCATGGTCTACACAGCACTTCCATGGTAGAGAGAGTACTGCAACAGAGAGGTAAAGGACTGGCATTTCAAAATATTTGAGTACCTAGCAGGCAGCAGTGGGATTTTTCACAAGAAACTAGAGGATCATGTATCTACACCCTATTTTGTGTTGTGGCTGGCCCACAGTTGCAACAAGCGTGTGAGAAAAGATGGGATTGAATATTTTTGAGCCTTAGAGTTTGACATCTCAACAACCCTCATGTTCAGGCTGGCAATGCTGCTTGGGTTCACAGTCAAGCCTGGGAAATTAGCTCAGCCAGCCAGTGGTCACACAAGGGGTCATGGTTCATACAGGGTTTCATCAAAGCCTCAGCCATGTAGGAAGAGCCACTAATTCATGGATGTAAGTTGGGAGCAAAAACTCACAAAGGACTAGTCTTTCCTTTAACACAGGGAAAAAAAGAGCCATGACCAGCTGTAAACAAAGCCCCTCTCTTTGCCATGTTCTCCGGGACTAAAGGCACCTCTGCAGATTTCTTTGGAAGGTGCCCTGAGAGTTTGGTACAGTGCCCAGCAGTCACACAGGGCACTGAGTGTTCAGCTGTTGACAGAAAGACCAGACCCCAAAGCACTGTGCAAAGAAAACATGAGAAGCTGAAACAAACTCTTTTAAGAACTCCAGGTTACCCTGAGTACCTTCAGGTTGATAAATGTTTCATGGATGGTGAGCATGTGACAGACCAAGCAAACTAACATTGTGAAACAAACATCTCTTAGGACCCATGTTCCAAATTGTCAGAATATTTTTAAACAATTCCATGAGCAGGGAAAATCCACTTTATCTGAATAGAGTGATTAATTCCTCTAAGGGATGAGCTTTTTGTTGACTGTGTTTTAAAATGGAATTCTGCTTTAGTTTTGGGCCTTTGAGCCTCTTTGTACATTTTTTCAGGGTCCTTACATGACTTAGGGAAGGGCTGGGCAAGAAAGGAAAGAGGTTCCCAAGCAGTGCCTTTTGCATAGCACTTTTTAGCTAGTATTTTTCTGTAAGCAAAATTCAGATTCTTCCCAGCATTCCTGCCACCATTTCCCAGGTCCAGCTTGCATCTGTTGCCTCCACCTCATCCACAGTGGCATCAGAAGAAAACAAAGTTACTCACCATCTGCTTATGGCTTGGGAAGAACGTTTGCTCCACCAGGGGGAACTTCTCAGGGCCCAGCGAGTTGAAGATTTTAATGAGCTGAGAGAACTTGGGGTGAGGGAGAGGGAACAAAAAACAGACACAGTGGATGTCAGTGACTCATTGTGCAACAGGCAAATGCTTGCAAAATGTTCTGACAGTGGTGAAGGAGGTGAGAGAAATGTTATCATGTCTTTCCCACCTTGCTTTCTTGACCTGAGAGCAGCAAGAAAATATGATGCTGCTGTATTTATTCATGGCCAAGCCAGCCTATGTACACAAACCTGAACTAAGGAGGCACAGAAGGGATTCATGAGCCAGAAGGGAATCAGTTTGCATTTACTTAGAGATCTACTATGGACAAGATTTGCATTCAAAATGCAACTGGGGAGAGGAACTTTTCTTAGTAGAGGATAGAGCCAGGAAATCAGTGCCACCGCTCCCATCAGAGACCAAATAAACCAAAGCTGTCCCTTGGATCTCTTCCTCACAACCAAATCCAAGCAAGGCACTTTGCGCTGGAGGGCAGGAGAGCTGCTAAGGGACAGCGATTACAACAGGGTTTGAGTGTCAGACCAAGGGAGTAGAGTCCGCTGTTAACCAGAACTGACATTTATTGTGAACCAAGGGCCCCCAACAGCCCTTCATGAATGATGAGAGAGAGACAGGTTCATCTGCCTGTCCCTGTCCCATCTACCATGAGGTCTGAGGGAGGCCCCACTCTGTGAGGGCAGTATGACATCAATGGGGACAGCAGCCACTCCAGCATTTCACACACAAGGAAGAACATTTGTCATTGTCCCCACCCATCAGCATGAACTTCACCATCATCACCACTATCACCATTATAAACCCTTTTACTCTGCAGGGTTGTGCCCAACCAGACACAAAGCTCCCCATGGTAGGACTGAGTTTTGATCTCTGTTCAGGTTCCAAAACCCTGAGAGAAGTGTAACACATCACAGCAAATTCCTGCTCCACTTCAGCCATCTGTGAAGCAAGCAGACCATTCTGTATGTTCTCTGCAGCCTCCCTGTTCAATCCATCATTCATCACACAGAGAAAAAAAAATCAAAACTATAAAGGGGAAACTAATAACCATGACAGAAAATGTTTCTGAAGTAGGGTTCATATGCCAAAGAGAGTAAGAGTGATGCTTATCCCAGAATCTCAGGAGGAGCTTAGACACAGCCCTGCTACCACAGTGCTGAACTGGCATGACTGTTGGTGAAGTGGTTGGACTGGCAGCCACACAAGAGAATAAAGTGTTTGGGAATTGGTTCCTGCTGAGCTGGTAGGTAGATCTGAGTTCTCCATTGAGTCCTATTCACAGTGTAGTTTATAAATTGAATTCAGTTTCCAAGCCCCTCAGAATCAGGCAAAATCAAGTTAATTAATAAAGGTCTCCACCTTGGGCCAAGTAAGGACAGATTTTAAGTCTTTGCATGAGTTTCTCAAGTTGTCCATCAAAGGTAGGGATGTATTAATCTTGAAGGAGATCTCTGTGTCACCTAAGGGAAGGAAACAGTCATCTAGGGAAGAAGGGAAAGAAAAGAAAGTTCCCTTTCTTCACAATAGCAGCTTAGTTTTGCATGTTCTGAGCACTTCTGGGCAAGAGCTGGAGCCAGTAAATGCACCAAATCACAACACCAAGGTTACATTGCAGATAGAGAGAGGTACTGAGGATGTTTTCTGCTGAGTAGCCCTGCTAAGCCTTCTCTCCTGGTTACTGGGCTAGGCTAACCACTCCAAAAGAATTGCTACATAAGAAGTGGAAACTTAATTTGCTGGTGGAGAAGAACAACCCCTTTGAGAGTTAAATCTTGGCATGCAGTCACTGTGAAAAAAAATTAGGCTGCAAGGTGTGTGCCAGAACCAGGCCAAATGCTGAAGAGGCAGCTGCCAGCAGATTTGCAGACAAATGCAAAGAATCCTTTTCCTAATCTCGTAGTTCAAAACACAGCATTTAAAGAAAATCCAGGAAACATCAAGAGGCAGCATATCCCATCACTAACACCACCACCACCCTCACATGCATCAGCAGATAAGAGGAAAAACTCCCAATGTAGAATAATTATTGTTGGCAAGGAGGGTATTGATGTTGTGAAAGGAGGACAGCTTGCTTCTCTCAACTACTTACACTAGCCCTGCACATTCTAGAAAAGAAAAATAAAGCCCTGTTTTGACTAGCAAGGTGAGCAAACAGGGCTTAAAAGTTAAACACAATGAGCCAGACACAGAGAGAGAAGGAAAAACACTCTGGCTGAGAACAGCCCATGCCCCTTGCTGTGTGTGCATGCAGCCCTGGTGAACCATGGACACCGTGATGTTGAGGCAATGTACAGTTATCCTGGGAAAACAGCTCAAACAAAATAACTGGAACAACTGACAGACAGTGTTCTGACTTGCTCCTTTTGAGGCATACAGCTCTTGGCTGTTGCTGAAATAGCGAGTGTTTCAGATGAGAGATTCAGACATCTGGGAGACTCGTCACTGGGCCAAGCCTGCAAAAAGGTCTGACTTTGGTATTGCCCCTCATGGGACAGTTCCCTCCCATTTTCTCTTTTTTTACCAGTTATTAGGGACAGGATGTTGACAAAGAGACTCCCATGTTAAGTGGTGCAGCAGCCTCTGAGATACCTGATAACAGAGCTCAAGTAACATCTCCCCATGCAGATGGGTAGGAATGTTGTTGTCAGCAGCTCTGCTAGATATAACCACACCTTCCACATGCTGGCAGCAGTTCTGGCTTTCTGTCCTTCCACTGGTTTTAGTGAGATTGCATCCAGACCACAGATAACACATGGGGGAAGGCAGAGCCTGGTTTAAGGTACCTGGAACACGCAGGCAAGGGAAATGCCTTGGCCTGACTGTTTGGAGAACAGCTACATGCAGGGAGTCTTTGCAGAGAAATGAAAAGTTCCATTCAGAGCATCTTAAGGCCTTTCACACATTTTGAAAGTGCCTAGGTCATCAGGGAGCCTGTTTCCCTTGACAGTCAATAACAGTTTGGCTAGGAGTCCCTGGACTCAGGAGGGGACTGTCAGAAAAACTTCATGTTTTCTGCTGCCTAACAGATGCAGAAGTTGCTTTGCAATTACAGACATTACCTGCATGCAGTGTGAGTACTACTCTGAGCATTCTTCCCACTGTATTTTGGACTGCAACTTAGAATTCTAACACAGAAATTACTATTGGTCCTTGAAGCATTGTGCTTAGTGTGCTTGTAGTATTATTTCTCAATAGTTCTGGGATCATGTTAGACTTCTTAGATGTTTCTCTTAGAATGTGAGACTCCCTGAATACTTTTTTCTTTTCTCTCATAAACATCTAATTCAAACTGTGTCTGTTTTAATCTTAAAAGAAATTTTTGTATTGCAGAACTGGAAACCTGGCAAACGCCATTAAAAATGGGGCTGCATGTTTGAGTAAACTCAAAACCAAACTCAGCTGATTGTAATTAGAGTTGCTGAGAATAAAACATGGTTGCAAACTGCCAAGGAAAAGCAGTCTCAATTTCATTCCCCTCCACAAAATCATAAACATTTCTATGAAATGGAACCGTTTTTGGAGAAAATAAAAAATGAGAGTGAAAAGCACATTTCCCAGGGGTATTTAATTTCATTTCTTCATGCATCTCAACTGTTGTCTCGATCCAAAAAGTTTCCAGTAATCTTTGTTATGCAGATCCCTTATTTCAAGATGCCTGTTTTGCAATCAAAGTGGAACGTGCACTGAAGTGTCCCTATCTCTCACTTCCCAGATATCACAAAAAAAAAATCTTCTGATTCTGCTGCCAGTGAAGCTTTTTGCCCTCCAATACCCCACTGCAATCTCTCCATGAGCTTAAATACCATGTGAATGTTGCTCATTCAATGCAATCTTAGATTGCTGAGCACGATACAATCACTGGTTTGGGGGTGATGGGTGTGCAGGGGCAGCAAGGAAAGGAGGCACTCTGAAAACCTGTTTAAATTGTTTGCAAGTGGTTTCCTTGACTCCTCTGGGAAGGCTGTCTGTGCCAGCTGTATTCCCTGTGAGGAAAGCATGGCACAACCAGACCCAGAGCAGCTAGAGCCAAGCTGCTGGCAGCGCCAAGTTCTCCCACACTGCCTTTCCAGCACTGCTTTTTTTTTCTTCCTTTTTCTAATGTGCTAAGTTTGTTTGTTTCCTTTTATTTTAGATGCCTAAATATAGGCCTTTCACATCCTGAGGCCCCTTCACACCATCAGAAACACAATTACAAGGCATGAGTTGCAAAGTGTCAACTAAGCCCTGACTGACTTGACCCCAAAATCAGACGGAATGGACCACATGGCAGTGTAAATGTGGAGGGTTTTTGTCTGGTCATCAGGGCCAATTCACTTGTGTGTAGGACCAGCTGTCAGAAACAGTGTGGAGGTGTGGTACTGAGCCTGGAACTGAAAGATCAAATGGAAACAGGTCAAATGTACATTGACCACCTATACAGTGATGGCAAAATGAGATTGGTCTCACTACCCTGATTATTGCATGACAGCATTTTTGGAAAAGACAAGATCTTTCTTTTGGTCTCAACAAACCCCACAAATGTTGTAAAAGGGGTGAAAACTGAAAAGACTCTGTTTATTACACCGGTACCATTTTAGTAAGAAATTACTTAAATCCAACACTGCTCAGTCATGGAAATGAAAGTCTGAGGCCTCATCTGGACTTGAGCTACCAACCAACACACTGAGGACCACTAGGATCTTTATTCCAAGGAGAAAAGCAACAATAAAACCCCACTTAATTTGGTGATGAGGAAGATAGCTATCATTTGCTATAAAAATTCCATCTCACCCCAAGCTCAATTTGTTCAATGAGTAAGGGAATTCCTGAAAACGCATCTAAAAGTTTTCCATGGAAAACTTTCATCTTGGAAAGCCCCACCTCCTTCTCACATCCATATAGCTGTAGTTTGCTGCTTTGAAGAATGCAGTGAAATTTCCATTCTGGAAGCATCAGTGATCAGAGAACACATTTTGGGACAAAACTGCTTGGAAAACGCATACAAGAATTCCAAAATGGTATCAGGATCTGACTTCCTCCTGCAGGTGCTGCCATGGACAGCCTTACTCTTGTGGCTCATGGCCAAATTATCTCTCCAACTCTCCTGCTTCTGCAGCTACAGCTGCCTTGGGGCTGGTCATAGAAATTGTCTGGGGATTTGGGGCTGAGAAAATCTAATGATAATAGTTTTCAAGGTTTTCTGAGATTCTCATGTGAACTTGACAAAATTTAAAGAATGGGCGAAGGGATCTTCCAGTGCAAAATATCAAAACATTGCCCTGCCCTCATCAGGAGCTGACCCAGCCTAAGTCTTTGTAAGGTGCAGTGTTTCAGGTTCAATGAACCAACACTTTATGATAATACTGCATTTTGTTCTGAGACTGTTGCAAAACTACATGTGTGGTGATTTGACCCTGATGGACTGATTTTCTCTACTTCTTCCCATGTGGGTCCTTCCCACCCCTTACAAGAAATCTAGGTGCTGCTGCACTATCAGCTCTTGGTGATCCTTTTGAGTCTGGGACAAGGGAAACATCCTGCTCAGGGTGAAGAAATAGCATCTTGATACCACTAGAGGCTGACAAAGAAGTAGTGCTGGTAGGTTTTCTCCTCCAATGACTCCCACCTGGATTCCTAAGGTTGTTTAGATTTTAACCTAAAGAGACCAGCTCCTTTGAAACTGCTGGAAGGTGAGCTGGGCTTTCTGTTGGTGCCAGAGGTCTCGTGTGCAGTGCTGGCATGCAGCAGGGCTGGGTCATCACTTACCACCCAGGGCTTGCTGCAGAAGTTGTAGATGGAGTGGAGGGAGTTGACCGTGTGGACGCCGCCGTACTGCAGGCCGATGATGAGGCCGCGGAAGTCTTCCCCCAGGGCCATGCTGTAGGCGTGCTGGCGGATCAGCACAAAATCTGGCTTGAAGGACCTGGAAGAGATGAGGAGAATGGTGTTTTACTTTCAAATGCTCCAGAAGCACTTCTAACCACTCCTTGGTTCTTTACCATCCTTCCCTTTTCTTTTCACGAACGCATATTGCTCTTCTCTAGGACCCCTCAGGGTGTATTGCTTGTGTTATAGTGTAACAAACACAACAAAACCCCCTAGTCATTAAAAAAAAAAAAGGAAAAATCCAACGTAACTGCAAGTGTGAGAGCATAGAAACAAGCCAAACAGATTTTCTGCAGTTTCCATGTCACTCAGGCATGCACAGGAACAAGCCACAAGCAGAGCCAAGGGTCATAAATTCACTGGTGGGGGGATTCTCTTTTCTTTCTAAAAGCTTGGCCGTACTTGGCAAGCTCTTTGCAATGTGCAACGCAGATGAGGGAGCAAGTTTGTTTCCTGACGATTGAGCTCCGTATTGAAGCAATGCCCAGTGGGTGGGAAGATCATGAGGGATTTCAAAAAGCTCTCGTACCCATCCATACATTGACACACATTCCCCCTTTAATGAGTTTACTACGTACACAGCACATCCCAGACTCTTATGGCTGTGAGTCAACAAGTGAAGGGCAGGCATGGCAATGAAATTAATCAAATGAGCAGAGCCCTTCATGTGCTGCTGTGACTCATGGCATGGACTTCCAGAATATTATTTAGCAAGAGTGGAGCTTGGACTCCTATGGTTCAACAGCAGCAGCCCTCAGCTAATGCACAGGAAGGTGAGGCCCTTTCTAGGTAAGCCAAAAAGCAATGGATTATCTTTCAAGCAGCCAGATTTTATTCCTTGCTGACACTCTGTCTTCAAAGCCATTCAAAAATATCTGGAAACAGCAGTTGGAAAGAAATGGTTCCCAAAACAGAGCCCAGCAGTTCATTCTCAAAGGAAGGGGCTTTTCCACGGAAAGAAGGGATTATTTTACAAGTTAACAGAGGTTGCATCAAGGACATTGAAAAATTTCCATGCTGTATTAAAGATTTTCAGAGAAATGAGCTCTGTAACCAGGTCCCATTACCTCACCAGCCTCGAACATTTTCCTTGCTAAGAGACTATAATTTCTATCCTTTGGATGTATGAGCTGGAAATACTTTGGGTTTATAGCCCCTATTTATATTTCCATCATTCTGGCAGGGAAATGTGAGATGGTGACTCTGGGCCAGATTGTGGCAACAAACACTGTACACAAACCCCAGCACAGCTTTGTTGCTTTAAAGCTGTTCATTTTGTTTGTTGACCTTGGACTTTTGTTATCACCCGCCTGAGACACGGTGAGGAGCAGGCTCAGCTTTTGTGATGCAAGAGGCCAAGCTGTAGAAATGTTGTGATTCCCTCCCATGGAGGTTTTTTAAACCCAGGCATGTTCCCTAATGTACTTGGCACCAAAGGTGGCGCTTTCCTCCAGCAGCAAGATGCATAATGAGCACCGTGAGGGCTGTGCTATCGCTGTGCAGCTGATTCATGGACCTCCCTGGTATCAATGGGGATGAGGCAAGTGGTGACCCCTGCTGAGAAACAGCGAGTGAATACAAATCTTGGAAAGTCTGAGCTGCTCCATTCTGCTGGACTTGCTGTGTAGAAAGCACCCTCGAGGCAGGCACAGGTCCCCAAGAAGGATTAACCAGCTACTTAGGACCAGGGCTCAGTATCTGCGCTGAGTTACTGAACAGCTGTAGTGCCTGGAGAGGCAGGAGCTCCGGGCATGTCTCTCTTCATGCAGCTTTCTGAGAGGGGGACGACACAGAGTGGCTGGGAAACTGCCTTCATTGGCTTTACTTTTGCCAGCCAAAATCTCAGGAAAAAAGCTCTTGTCTTTTCGGATCCTGGCAAAGAAAGAGTTTCTCGATTTAGAGGATGGACACAAGAATACAGAATTACTGTAGAAAAGCCTATTCTCAAACTCTGTGTCCTGTAGGAAGGCAGGGCACTCTCTCATGCAGTAGATGAGGAGTGAATCTCTAAAGCGAAGGTGGACACTGAATCCCTGTTTTGAGCTGTGGAACAATGTGAATGTTCCCATGGATACTGAGAACAAGGCAGTGGAGTGCCAGGCCTGGGACTAGCTGAGAATAAACATCAGCTGAAGAGCAGCAGAGCCTGTACAGAGAAATGGAGACCAGTGGCAAAATGAATATCAATCAATAACATCTCTGTGCAGAAAGCAGCTCCCCAGCCTGTTTTGGGGTAGAGAAGATAATGACAACAATTCCTGCTGGGAGGTTTCATGCCTTAAAGAGATCTCCTATTTCTTATTTCTGCATAGAGCCATAACTCTGGCTTGCTTCCTGGTCCTTCAGCTTTTCTTACTGAAGCACAAAGAGATTCGAGGGCGTGAAGAAAGAACACAGAAGAATGCACTATTTGCATCAGAAATAGCGTGATTAACACATTAGATCGTCTCCCTGTGCTGAGCACTGGTGAGGCCACACCTCGAATCCTGTGTTCAGGGTTGGGTCCCTCACTGAAAGAAAGACATGAGGTGCTGGAACGTGTTGTAGTGAGGTGGGGATTGGCCTCCTCGCCCAGGTAACAAGCTATAGGACAAGAGGGAGAGGAAGAACAATGGCCTCAGGTTGTGCCAGGAGAGCTTTAGTGGATATCAGGAAAAATTTCTTCATGGAAAGGGTTATCAAACATTGAGGCAGTCTGCCCAGGGAAGTAGTTGAGTCACCACCCCTTGAACTGTTCAAAGGGTGTGTGGATATGGCACTTAGGGGTGTGATTTAGTGGTGAAAATGGCAGTGCTCATTAATGGGAGATCAATGCTCTTAGAGTTCTTTCCCAGCCAGTTCTGTGATTGTCAAAATACTTCTGTGTGACCCCTTCCGCAGTGCATAATCACTTGCAGGCAAAGGGTGCTTTATATTTCAGCACCATGATGGGTGAGAGGGCTTTTTTCTGGTGTTGTTGGAGAACGATGGGCTATCCTGCTCTCTTTTTAGAAGACTGACATTCTTACTAGACACTTTGCCCTTTGGGACAGTAGATCTTCCCAGGACACTGAAGATAACATCCTCACTTCGGGTTCTGGCTACCCTCCGTTATTCTAGGAGATTTCATTCAGCTTTCAGATACTTCCCAGGGATCAAGACGCTCTGACTAAATTCCCTTCCAAAGCCTTTCCTATCTGGCATGACAAAGAGAAGAAGAGAACTGCATAATTTAGCAAAATGATACAACAAGTTTTGCATTACTGGCAATTAATGAAGCCTTCAGGGAAGCGTCTGAGGCACAAGTACAAGCCATAAGAGGCCGCAACTTTTGCCAAGAAGTGCAAAATTCCCTCCAAATATGCAGTGCCTCAGGTGTCTGACACCTAATAGGAAATGGCATTTACAAAGAGGAACAAGTTCTTTTTGTGCATTGCTTCAGTGTTAATAGCATTGTTATTAAATTACTGAAAATTAATATGAAATCAATGACATTTCCCCTATCTCAATGTTAGATTTAGCATTCTGTTTGATGCTTTAGTAAAGTGGAAAATATGCTAAGAAAAAAAGTCATTTCAGTCAAAACCTCATGTCATATTTTCTACAGAAAATATGCTGAAGTTATTCAAAGAAAGAAAAAATACATCTTATCTATAAATAAGATAACACAGAGCTGATTAGAGAAAAAAAAGAAAGCAACATAGAATAAAGAATAATCTCTCCTTACTAGGCTGGAAGAGAGAAGCAGGGTTTTTTTTTTAACATTATAGTAGAGAATGGCTGAGTAAAAAGCATGGGAGGTGTGGGAGATTAGTGCAGCAAAAGCAGCAGGAGCCAGGAATCACAGTTGCAGTAGGGCCAATACCACTGTAAGCAGATGAGGACAGCCTGGAAGATGCTCTGATTTGCTTCTCAGCCACAGGTCAATGCTCAGCTAACCATTAAACCATGTCACGCACTCTCTGAACTGGAGTCTGGCAGTCTCAATAGTCTGCCATATATTTTACTTCTAAACTGATTGACATTGACAAGGAAAATCATGTGGACTGAGACAAAGCCTGAAAGTAGTAACAACCACACCTGCCAACACCAACTTGCCTTCAAAATGCTTGTGATCTTAAGCTTTTACAGAAGGTGATCCAAATACTTTCCAACATCACAGAATAAGGTCACAGAGCAATTTAGTTTGGAGAGGATCTTTGGAAACCCTCTGTCTCAACACCATGCTCATTGCAGGGCTAACTCTGAGGTGACATTAGGATAATTGCCATTCTCTGGAAGAAGCCTTAGTAAAAACCCATGTGGAAAGGAGACAAATTATGGCAGCATTGATAAAAAAGAAAGCTGATCAAGACTGAAACAATGTACTAAAGTTTTGAATAATTCTTGTATTTAACCCTGGATTAACTAATTATTGAGTGCTCTAGACCCTGGTGGCTTATTCCTTATTGGAAAGAATTACTGTAAATGCAAAAAGGGTCCGGGAGTAGGTTAATATCTGAAATGTTCCCCACCCTGGTCTGCTCAGAGTGACTTTGTCTTTCTGGCAGCTGCCTGCATGCCAAATGTTTTCCCGATAACTGTCAGCATCCTGCCTGCTCGTCCGCTGGGCGCCAGCTGCCAGGGAGGTGAAGGGGGACATTATTCGTCTGGGGCATCAGCAAACCCCAAGGGGAGAAGCAGGCCTCCAAGCAGCTGTTTAGCAGCAGGAGCTGAGGTGGAAGTAACTGAGAATAAATGCATAAATCATCACACTCCGCTGTCTCTTCTCTTTTGCACTTCCTGCTAAAAGAAAAATTAAAATTTTTTTTTAAAAAAATTGAGGACAGAAGCAGGCAGGTGAAGAGAGGGGAGATATTAGTGAAAAAAACAATGCTATATCATCCCCCATATGGGAATAATTCTCAGTTTATAAATGTTTACTAGAGGTGTTAAATTCCTTCATATGTAACTGTAGCTTGCCAGGGTGTATACCCTGTTAGACACCTTGCCCAGCTTATTGTCTCTGCAGGGTATTTCAGTGAGGAAAGTGGTCATTTGGCACACTGGTCCCTTGCC